CAACCAAGGCGGCTTACATGATAAAATAAAAAATCCCGTCCCCCAATAGCCCACCCCCCAAAATACAATTAAACAATCTAAATTTAAAAACCAACTTAAAAATAACAAGCTAATAATAATAATGCGTTATTTCTCCTTGACGCCAATAATAACGGTGCGTTATTTCTCCTTGATGCCAACGTCGTGTGAGAAACAACCCGCTTTTGCACGGGATCCGTCCCATGGATAAACTCTGAATAAATATAAACACAAACGCTTCCACTATCTATTTTTATTTAGATTACTAATTCCTGTAAACAATTCCTTCCCGATTGAGTTCACTTTACATTCACCTTTCTCTTTCTAACTTAAATTTTCCACAAGAGCTACTATATCTTTCTCTCAATTTCTGCTTCCAACGTGAATCTTTATATAAATTCATCTTTTAAATCCATTATCCACTTTACTATATATGATTTCTAAATGTAACCGAAATTTCCGATATAATTCTTGTATCTTGCCCTATAATATCAATTTAAACATTTCTTTCTCTCTATGATTTGTCCTATTTTAATCCGTATTTTGTTTAATCGGATCCCATTGTTTCTCTATCACATCTGCAGACTTTTAAGTGTAGTAGTTAACTCTCCTGTCCAAATCCTTTGGACTTCAGTTTGGCTGGACTATTTTATTTTTATTTCATTTCATTTCTATGCCGCCTTTCTCCCCAGAAAGGGACCCAAGATGGCTTAATTAATTAATTACTTAATTAATTAATTGTAAACTTTACAATTAAAACAAAAATGAAATGCAATTAAAAACCATCTGGTTAAAATAGTATAAAAATAACACACACATACACAAAGTTAGCGTACAAAATAGTGTACGCTATGAGTAACGTCGATGCAGCCCTTTCGTAGGTCTGTCCTCATTTTTATTTGTAGGGCACATTTTGGGGAAAAAGTAGGGTATAAATACAGTAAATAATAATAATAATAATAATAATAATAATAATAATAATAATATTTGGTCTTCATAGCATAATTTATGAACCTCCAGGTGTTTTTGCAACTGCAACTCCCAGCATTCTCTGCCCATAAGTTGTGCTGGCTAAGAGGAATGATGGGTGTTGCAGTCTATTCCCATCCCTATTTAGTTCTAGTTAATTCTCCCTCCTCTGTCCACTCTAAGGCAGAATTAATAAGACTAGCCCACCTTGCAAGGTTGTCATAAGAAGCACTACAAATCCCAGAATCCCATAGCAATGAGTCATGGCAGCTCAAGCGGTGTGAAATTGCATTAATTCCGCAGTGTAGACGGAGCCCCACTTAGACATTTCAGTGTAGCGGTTAACTCTCCTGTTCAAATCAATTGGACTGTGGCTATTTGGAAATGAAGCCTATTTAATTCAATGGAACTTATTCTTGGGTAACTGTGCCTAGTAGTGCAGTTTCGGGATGTATAGCTGTCCATCAAGATGTGGGTCACCTTTACAAGACAAAACCCATCCCCAGTCCATGTTTTCATAAACACGCCTTGCAAACAAAGGAGAGGTATAAAACTTTTCTTTTGAAAAATATTTCCTAATTTCTCAATGAGTTGTAAATGATGTGATAATCAATGGGACCCAGTCATGTGGCTCATTCATTCCCAGAGAATGCGGCTTGTTCACTGCGCATGAGTTGCCTCTCAATAGAAGATCATAGTCATTTAAGCAAGTTTGAGGTTGGGAAAGGATGCCAGGACAACCCTGGCCTTTGGTATCCATTGACATATATGATTATTATTATTATTGATACTGTCATCCTCTTCCTCTTGCAAGAAGGAAGAGTCCCCAATGGCTTCATTGAGTCCTCCATCCAAATGCAACAGTGGGACCTTGGTATCCATCTGCTGGGATTGGGTTCCAGGACCCCCTTCGATACCAAAATCCATGGATGCTCAAGTCTCATTATATTCAATGTTGTTGTTAGTTGCCCTCGAGTCAACTCCGACTCTGGTAACCACTGACATATATTATTGATACTGTCATCTTCTGGCAAGAAGATGGAGGAAGAATCCCCAATGGCTCTGTTGGGTTCTCCATCCAAATGCAACTAAAGTGGGCCCTTGGTATCTATCCACTGGGGTTGGGTTCCAGGGTTCCCTTAGATACCAAAATCCATGGATGCTCAATAACGCTCAAGTCTCATTATATTCAATGTTGTTGTTAGCTGCCCTCAAGTCGACTCTGACTCTGGTAACCATTGACATATATTATTGGGGATGAGCCCCCAGTGGCTTTGTTGGGTTCTCCATTCAAATGAAACTACAGCGGGCCCTTGGTATCCATCCACTGGGGTTGGGTTCCAGGGTTCCCTTAGATACCAAAATCCATGGATGCTCAAGTTCTATTCTATACAATATATACAATGCCCTGGAGTTGGTTTTGACTCATGGTGACCCTATGGATGAGACATCTCCACGAAGGATCCCTATCTTCCATTGCAGTCTTGCCCAGATCCTGCAAGCCCTTCTCCATAATAACTCCCATGATCGAGTCTATCCATCTGGTCTGTGGTCCCAACTTGGCCATGAAACCCACTGGGTGAGCTTGGACAAGTCACACTCTCTCAACCTCAGGGGGAAGGCCATGGCAAGCCTCCTCTGAACAAATCTTACCAATCTCAAGAATGTGTTGAGTGCTTCCGTTGACATATATTAAGGAAGCAAAGGAAGAAGAATGATATCAAGGAAGAAGAATGAAAGGAGACAAAGAGGAGAAGGACTCTGTTAGTGGATGATAAAGATGGAAAAGATTGACCTTAGAATTGTGCTGGAGGAGCTACAAATATCTATAGAGTGTCCTCTCTAGGAAGCTTTAGGATCTTCAGTGCGACTTTTGGCTAAAGTTGACCCTAGAGTTGCTCTGGTGGACCTAGAGATTCCTAGAGAGAACATATTAATAAAATCCATGAATAATAAAATCCGCAAAAGTCAAAGCCGCAAATGTGAAGGGATGAGTGTATTTTAACTTCCTTAATAAAACATATTAAAATTAAATGTTTATTATACCCATATTGTAGACTGAAAATTCCTTTTTGGGATTTTGTAATGCCTGCCTTTCATACCTGGCCATTTGCAGGTGGAAAAGTCTTAAGACTTAAATAAAAAAGAGAGAGATGCAAGGTGCATGGTCTGGATGCCTTGAAGAATCTCTTGCTCCGCAATGAAAGGACCTGTGGTCCTTCAGATCTGCTGACCATCTCTCTAGGGCAAATCCTTGGCACCCGTGATGTGACATTGTTAGAAGGAGGAGACCTGCAAAAACCAGAAGAGAAAAAGAAAGCAAAGGTCTCGTTGGGCTTAAGCCTGACGTGGGAAAAGTAAGCATTGTTTGCAATCTTTGCTACATCATAGGGGCAACAGCAGCATGAGGTTTTCCCCTGAAGGGACCAACTCCCTTCCCTCCAACTGTCCCCATCAAGGTCTTTCCCTTTGAGAATTGCCTTCTTTCACCAATTCAGTATGTTTGCATCACCAAAGGCCCTCCGGCCGGCTTTCGGGTAAAGAGGCCAAATGGAAGTGAAGAGATAGTGTTGCTGGATTATTTTAAAAAATGTTGTGTGTTTTGCAAAAGCCCACTGGGCTTCAAGATCTCACCTTCCACCAGAGATCTTGGAAGAGGGGAAAGTGAAGAAAGCACCTGCTTTGCACGCAAAGTGCTCCAGGTTCAACCTTTCCCTGGAAAGATCTTGGATAAAGACTCCTGGAGTCCTGGTCCAACACTCAGCTGAGTATCACACTACAGTGGAGCTTCGAAAGCTTGCAACAAGGATATTGTGCATTTGGGTTGGCCAAGGAAGGTATCACGGATGGATTTTTGTTGGTGGTTTGTAACATCTTGCCTTATGAAGAAGAAGAAGCCTGTGGAGCTTTGAAAGCTTGCAACAAATATATTGTGCATTTTTTTGGTTGGACAATAAAGGTATCACTTTTTGGTGGATTTTTGTCTGAATTTGCTAAATGACCAACACAGCTGCCCCTGCGTATCACACTACATTGTTATAGTGCTATCGTTCCACTTTAATAGCCAAGGCTGCCTCCTGTGCAATTCTGGGATTTGAAGTTCAGGGAAGGGGCATTTAGAGATCTTAACCCCCCCCACTACAAATCCCTGAAATTTAATCCTATAAAACAAGAAAGAATAAAAAAGTAAGGAACAGTCAGAAAAAAGAGTATTAAGGAAAGAGAAGAAATAGTTGAAAAATTAAAGTCAATCCATAAAGGGAAAAACAAATTAGCAATAAAATCAATCCTTAGAAGAGTAGTGGAAAAAGAGAGAATGCCATACAAAAACAAGAAGAAAAAAAATATAGATTATTAGTAGGAAATAAGAGATGACGATTATTAGAACAGGAAAGACGGAGTACAGGACGACAAAAATCTGGGAATTACGAAGAACAAAGACATATAGAAGACAGAAAATGTGGAAGTACAAAAATAAGAAAAAGAAGTAATTATAACTTGTAAAATGAAAAAAATATTTGTTTTATAAATTTTAATGTATTTTTAAAATATAAATTGTTTAATAAAGATATTTGAAAAAAAACAACACAAAAAATGACAAATCCTTGAATTCTACAAGAGGCAAGCCATAATGGTTAAAGTGAAATAATAGCACTATAACAGTGAAGTGTGATACGACGCTCTTGCCTTCAAGTTGGCTCCAGATTATGACAACCTTATGTCAGGATTTTCTCAGCAATATTTATTCCAAGGAGGTTTGCCATTGCCTTCCTCTGAGGCTGAGAGAGCGTGACTTGCTCAAGGGGGTTTCATGCCTGAGCTGGGAATCAAACCCTGATCTCCAGAATCATAGTCCAACACTCAAACCACTATGCCACACTGGCTCTCTGCCTCCAACGTATGGGTACCCCGATTATAGGATATTCTTGGCAAGATTTATTTAAAGGAATGGAATTGCCTTCCTCTGAGGCTGAGAGAGCGTGACTTGCCCAGGGTCATCTAATGGGTTTCTATGGCTGAACCGGGATTTGATCCCTGGTCTCCAGAGAGAGTCATAGTCCAACACTCAAACCACTAGGTCACACTGGCTTTCCTTATACACATAGCCTGAACATTTTATACACAATATTTTGTAATAATTTTGTGAGAGAAACAAAGTTTGTGTACACTGCATCATCAGAAAGCAAAGGCGTCGCTCGCTATCTTAGCCACCCATATGGATATTATTATTATTATTATTATTATTTCCTACTACTTTTTCTCTTCCTGCTGTGCAAGCCTCCTTTGCCCCCATTTGCAAAGAGCATGCAATCCCGCAATCTGGAGGCCAGATTTTTGCAAGGCTCAGCTCCTGATAAACCTGACGTCACGAGGGGGAAAAGGGCACATTTAATCAAAGCAACACCCAGGTACTCAAGAAAGCAGGTGCTATACCTGAAGCTGATAAGTTCCTTTGATCTGTATTTCCTCTTCCTCTTAGCTAGGAAGGAAGGAAGGAAGGAAGGAAGGAGAAAGCCACAATGGACCAGCAAATCAGAGGCTTGGCTACCTCCTGGTACCTGCACAGGGGAGGCCCCTATGGACTGAGTCATGTGGGCTTCTCAGCTCCCCTTGCAGGTAAAACTCACCTGGAAAGGTACAATTTCCACCTGGGCTGATGTCACAGAGGTAATGAGCCAATCAGAGGCCTGGCCTGAGACACACGCCTCTTACCTAAACACACCTTGGGAGGAAGTCACTGCCCTTTCCTTTGCAACAGGAGACTTTTAGTTTTTGACACCCAAATTAAGCAAGAACATAAAGGTCTTAGGGTGACTGGTCCATCCCTTTTGCCACCGTTTCAGCTTGCTTTTATTTATTTAAAACTATCAAAGTCTCCCTATAGACCCCAACACTAAGACTGTTTCACCTCTTTTGTTGTGCATTTCACCCTACAGAAATAGGGTGCTATGATTCCACTGTAATTTTATTATTTTATTTGTTCATTTAATTTTTATGCTGTTTTTCTCCCAGAAAGGGACCCAAAGTAGCTCACAAAATAATAATAATAATAATAATAATAATAATAATAATAATAATAATAATAATAAATAATAATAATAATAATAATAATAATAATAATACACCTTTATGTTTTTAATTGTACTGTTTTTAGACTGTAAGTCGCTTTGGGTCCCAATTCTGGAAGAAAAGCAGATTAGAAATTAATATAATAACAATTGTAATTACCATGACTGTGCCCTACAGAAGCTGCCTTGAATCCAATTTTTTTTTTGGGAAAAAGTGGGGCATCTATAAAGATCAAGGAGCCAGATCAAATGATGTAGTGGCATCCTGATTCCTTAATATCACCCTGCAACAATGTCTGAAAAGAGATGTTTGGTTTTGGCCTTTTATTCAGATAAACTTGAGCATTTGGAGGGATTTTGTCTTTTTTTTTTTTGGACAATGCACAATGCTCATACCCAGGTGATGGCGATACAAGCAGAGTTGCACATATGAGACCACTGTGCATTAGACAGAATAACGTGTGACTGCACATTTATCCTCTGATGTTGTGGTTTGTGCAATTGCCCAGTGGATTGTGAGCCACATGCTCTGACCATTGATACACACATCTTGCACTATGTTCATATCCAGTATAAGGTTTACATAACCTTAGCTATTGGGGCATTTTTGCTATGTACATGCGATATAGGATCTTGGCCCACGTGTCAAGAAATGGCAGCATGCATCTTTGGACTTTAAAGTCCCTATGCAGACAGGAGGAGCAACTGCACACCTCAGCTCACACCTGAGTTACAGAAGGGCTAGTGCAGAGTCTGGACACTCAATCCATCCTCCTCTGGAGCACCACCAATTCCACATTCCAGCTTTATCGTTTTAGTGTTTTAAAGTTAAATAGTTCCCCTCTCCCGGTACCCATTTGAAGAAGCACAATCACACAAATATTGAGACCAGCCTGTCTCCAACCTGGGGTCCTCTTATTGAGACTAAAACTCTCACCATCCCTAGCCAGACCTCTTGAGAGAGGCTATGGGGATGGGAATAGAACAGGTCAAAGAAAACAGAGCTGTTTATCAAAATACTTTATTTTTCAGCATAACCCCTCAAAAAAAAGGACCCTCCTTATTTAGACACACATCCTGACGATACCTTTGCTTTTTCTCTGGATTTTTTCCTTTTTTTTTTTTTTTGTAATTCAACTAAAACAATCTTTTGCTTAAAAGAAAAGACACATGGGATCTTCTGATCAAGACTTCCATCAAGGATATCTATGCAACTGGTTTAGTTCCTGATGGGGGATGAGATCAAGGGTGGGGGAGAAGGAACAGGAGAGACAACAGAAAAGGGGACATTTCCGGCAAGTGACGACAGTTTGGGCTCTCTCTCCTTACACAGCAGGTAGAAACGGCATTGCTGAAGACATTCAACACACAGCGGAGCTAACTAGGGACGTACAATTCGTAGCTAGCACAGAGATGTGGGCAGGGCAGAGGAGAAGGCCTTTGACAGGGCTGCCCTTCAGAGTCCGCTGCGCATGATGGCCATGGAAAGACAGCATGGTGGCTGCCCTCTGCCACGGTGCCGGCAACACGTGGGGTGGAGAGGAAACCAGACGGAGCCGTCTCAGACCCGGCTGGGGGTGGGTTTTCAGTTGACCAAAAATGATCTTCAATCTCTCATTTTGTTTTGTTTTTCTTTTTAAAAAGGATCCACAGCCAAAATAAAACAGAACTGCAAAATCCGGAAGTGTCTGCTTTGTACGCTATTTATAAAAACGTAGGAGCAGTCTCTAAATCCAGGCTGAGGACCAAGGCAGACTATACTTTCCCAGGGATCTTGGCCCGTTTGCGGGCGATGGCATCTTCAACGGCCTTCAGCTGCTTTAGGAGTTCCTCCCGCCGGGACAATGTGCTGGACTTGCCTGATTTTGTGGCCGCGCCTGGAGTGGCAGCCTCACCCGCTTTGCCTGGGATGCTCGTAACTTTGCTGGAACTCTTGGACTGGGGTGACAGCGGACGTTTCCTGTGCAGAAAAAAAGTATGGCTTGGTGAGAAACAACTGGGAGTAGTTTAGATACCTGGGGTCTACACAGAAACAGCATGAAGGGTTTCTGTCAAGCCTGTATTATGTTTAAAGCCAGACTTGTATTCTTTCTCTCTCTCTCTCACACACAAACTTCCTTAGAATCAGTCTTCAGAGCCAGCATAGTCTATTGATTTGGACGATGGGAGACCATGGTTTGAATTCCTGTTCCATCATGGCAACCCACTGGGTAAGGCACCCTCTCTCATCTTCAAAGGAAGGCCATGGCAAACCTCCTCTAAAGAAATCTGGCTCAGAAAACTTTAGGAGAGGGACAACATGAATCAGAGCTGAAATGAAGGTACATAACAACTAAGGGTGCCTCAGGTGGAAGACTACATGATAGCACAAAGGGATCTCATATACCCAGAAATTCTTTTCTTTGGACATAGGGCATTACTATGCCTCTGCAGGGCAGCTAAGGAGCTAATGGCATCCAAAGATAGCAGGCAGTGGGCTTGGACAGCATGAGGGATGGAAGTGTTAGATTTTTGTCGTCCAAATGTTTTTCACTTCTACTCCCAGAATTCTTAATTGTTAGCCAAGCTCTCTGTGGATTCTGGGAGTGGAAATCCAAAACAGCTGGAGGACCAAAGTTTGGGAACCACTGAGTCAGACTGTTGCCAAATCAGACCTCCAACTATACAATAGCCACCTCTGGGATGCACATTTTTACAGGACATTAGTGGAGATTGATAAGGAAGAGTAAAAGAAGGAATGGTGAGTGTTTCTGCCTCCCAAGACTCTTAGTTTTCAAGGTAACTCTTCTTATTTTACCAATTTTTGTTGGTTTGGGAGAGAGTGCCTTTTCTGGCATTACAAAAAAATCTTCTGTTAGGCAGAAGAAGAGTGGCATGTAGGTGTTATCCAGGGCAGGCTAACTGCCCTCTGACTGTTCCCTCTTTGGTTCCCCAAAACCGTGAGCTGCCTCTCCCTGCCAAAGGCATTCCCTCTGCCACATATCCACACAGAGGAAACCTTGATCCTTCTAATCGAGAACTCTGAGTCACACCCAAGACATTAAGGATAAAGTGGCTCTTTCCCCCCACCCCAGGCCCTCAGGGGTTGCTTCAGGTCTTTCCACAGTCCCAATATGGCACAATGAACACTCATGGGTGATCTCCAACATTTGTGAGTCACACAGCAAGGGATCTGGCCCAACTGCAGCCAGAGACATGTATGCAGCCTTTAATGCAGAAGCAAGAAGGGAGAGTTTGGAATCAAATGGGATGAGCAACCCCCCCCCCCCCATATGCAGCTAAGCTATGGGGTGCTGCAGAACAGAGCCAAGTTTGTGTTTATGCTTGTGTATTCTCCCCACCTCACTCCTTTTGGAAACTGAAAGGCACTCCCTCTGCCACGTGTCCAAAGCTTGCTTTGTTTTGGGGGAAAAATTTAAAACATATTTCTAGTCCAGACCAAAATTGACCACTGGACTGACTGAAGTTGCCCAGCCCCTTAAATTTAGAGGGAGGGAGCCACAACCTTTGACTGTACCATTCGAGAGCAGAACTGGTTTCCCACCAAAGCTCTAGCTAGCCATAGAGCAGGAGTGGCCAAAATGTGGCCCTGTAGCAACATGACCCCCTTCCCAGGTTGTTTTTGGGGTCCTTGATCCCTTCAGATTCCATGAACATCCTTTTTCTGGTCTCCCAAAAGGATAAATTGCCTCTTCTGAAGTCTTCCTGAAGTGGGGATTCATCTTTTAAATAGACTCCAGCAGCCCCCAGCACTGTTTTAATATAGATATATAAAATCTGTGCTTCTCATAATTAGGTTTGTGTTTTTCCTCCCCATTTGTCAATTTGGTTTTTTCTTCACTCATTTTTGGGGCATTTTGGCCAGTCCTTGGGAGTCATAAAACTGCCCCCTGGACCTGTTGTTGTTGCCCATCCCTCCTAGAGAAGTTACAAGCAGCTGAAGAGATGGCAGAGAGACCACATGGAATGCCACCTCATGGGGCCACTGGAATGTGTTGAGTTACATTTCAGTGCTTACAA